CAACTTGTTGTTCCTTTTGAAAATTATATGCACATGTACAAGTGCATACATTTAGAGAAATGTATATAAATGTAAATATGTATACTTATGACTGCAAGGTTTGAAAATATTATGAAATAAAATGTCATAGAGCAGTGATTGGTTTCAGATCGTATCGTGTATTTTAACGTGTATAATATTGTGGTAGGGTTAATAGAGTTCTTGTTGTATAGTTGATATTTGCAATGTTACCATTAAAATAAATTATACTTTTAATAGGGTTCTGGTACACCATTAGAAACAATGTTAATGACGGTTCTTTAATATATTCAAAAAGCATTATAGTTTTATATTGAATCCTATAAGCATGTTCTAAGAAAAAAAAAATATAAAAGAGCTTTAATGACCTTGAGTCGATTCATTTACTAAATTTCTCTATAACCTAAAATTTTGCAATAAGAATTGGAAAAAAGATGTTAGAAAGTTATTGGGTTGTAGAATCCGAAGTGAGTGCTCCAATTGTAGTTTTAGAAAATAATTGAGCTCTTCAATTTCAATATTAGTTCGCAAAAATTTTTTAAGGAACTGCAACAATTTTTTGTAATTAATTAATTTCTTAGCAAATTTTCGAAATAATTTTAAGGAAATGTTCTTATTATTTTCACTCTGTTTGTATATCTGTCTATCTGTGAATCTTAAATTAAATGAAGATTCGTACACCTTGGTTAAAACAATTAGTTGTTATTTCAAAATTGTTTGGTATCATAAAAATTTTTCGTAATTCATCGCTTTCAAAGCTTAATTTGCAAATCCAAAACACAAGTCTGACATTTTTTCCTGCAAGATTAATTATCTAAATATACGCAATCTGTACACTTAAATGTCGATGAACTCCTTATTTTATTAGAACAATACTTCTTCCACCTTCTGATTAATTTTTTCTCAAGTGCCGCAAAATGTCAAAAAATCCGAATTATTTCCGTCATCAAAAATACACTGTCTTATTTTAATTAATTTAACAATTATAAATTCCAAGATTCTTCCTGCAAGCATGCAAGATTATATGTCAATAAAAACAAATTTCCTGAATAGATTCAATTATTAAAGGGAAATGTGCTATCTCACAAACCGCACAAACCGTGTTTATAAATTAAAACTCGTATGGAATTTATATGATTATTTGACTTGTGTCAGTTATGCAGTGAACTCATTATAAGAACTTATCGTTCTTAGTAAAAAAATTTTCTTTCCACTTAAGTTCTACAACTCAATTTCAAAAGAACGAATGAAATTACAATGCATTCTTTAATGAGAGCTTGGAGAATAAAATCAGTAATTATTAATACATATGTAATTTCATTTTACCCGTGTGATTGTGACCATATTATTAAACAACTGCGTTTAATCAAATAAAATATAAAAATAGATCCGAAACGGCCAATTTAATTATCCAATATTTTCAATTTTTATTTTAAATTACTGCTCATAATAAGCCCATTAAATGGATAAAAAGCTGTTTTTTTTCAGTAAATTTCAATCAATATATTCAATATGAAATTTAAAAAATTTAAAATGAAATGCAATATTCAAGGGAACAATAATAATATTTTAACAAGAATATTGAAAAACATTTACAAACACATATGTAAATAATATATATATATATATATATATAGAATCAATTGTACATATTGTATGATATCATTGTTATTGCATATGAGCGAATATAGTAGAGTAAAGTAGTGTGGAAATGGGCAATTCAAAAACCATTTGTATTTTATATCAAGGACATTTCAAATCAAGATATTTACTCGCATATATGTATGTATGTATGTATCTATACATTATTATGTGTATCAAGTTAAATTATATGAAATAAGATGTGGAAAGAGACACAGAATAACAAATGAAATTCGTAATATTATGACACAATTCTCTACTTTTTTGAAAACAAGTTGCAGAAAAAGAATAAAATAAGGACTTTTTTGCAAATACAAGGACTTCATATTAAAATATAGAATTATGCAAAATAAAAAAAAAATAACAAAATCAAGAACATTTTTTTTTTAGAAATATGATTTGTTTACATGCGTTTTACATATGTACATACTTACAAACACACTCTTGTCTATTATAAAAGTTTTTGTATTGTACGTCAAAGGTAATTTCCTTTTTGTACTTTTGCATTTTTCCACTTATTTTTTTTTATTCTTTTTTTTTTTTAGACTGAAACGACATTCCAAAAAGGTGGCAAGGTAACATTACTAGTTAACATAAAAAGCATAAAAAGGATAATAGATGTATCGTACATAAAAAAAGAAGAAAAAAAAAGTGAAATAAAAAATTTCATATCGATTTCAAATATTTTTACAAGGATTTTTTGATTTGCTTCTCTGCTACTTTAATTTGTGTTTTGTACAATATTTCAGCTTAAATATTTCAGACAATTAAATTTTTCAGATTAAAGCTAGAAAGCAAGCTCATAGCTTTTTCGAGAAAAATTAACTTTGTAGTAGTTTTAGGAAGGATGTTATAGAAATTTCGGGGGAAAAAAATTAATTATTAGGTAAACGGAAATGAAATTTTGATTTGTGCATATTTGTTTTTTATTCTTTTTGTAATTTTCAAAATTGACGGTCAATTTATGTATGCATTAGAAGAATTAATATCCTTTTTCCTATATTAATAATATTGAAAAATGAAATATGCTGCGCCTATAGCATATGCAATTTTAACTTATATTTTTAAGTGTAGATTTTTTAAAAATTTTAGGCTACTAGGTCAGGAGAAGATTCTTTAAATAAATTTATTAGTCAAAGGCCAACAAAAAACATGAAAAGAAAAAATATTCTAAGCGACAATTTATCAATTTTTCAAGAAGTCATAAAATTTCTAACAATAAAAAAGTATACATTTCCAAGCAATAATAGGATTTATTGCAATCAAACAAAAACAGTTTTTCTGTTTACGGTCCTAGACCAAGAGGCAGTAGTCATAATAATCTTGACAATAGTTTCGATTTTGAATGATATATGAATTTTAGTTTTGTTGTTTTAATTTTTTTTTTAATTCTTAATTTAATAATTTTCTGGATTTTTAAATTAAATTTAAAATCTCTTGTATGACATTTATTTGACTTATGATGAATTGTATCATGCGGATTTTTAAACCTCTCAATTGAGCAATATGTTGTGTTTGATCAGTTGACCAAAATCTGATGATTAAAAATTTAATTTTGTCTTTATGTTGAAGCCCATATCAAGTTTTATCCAAATGAAATTGGGATTGTGTAAAAAATTAAGTTTTAATTCTTACTAAAAAAACCCAGATATTAACTGTAATAAATACGTTTTTTTTTGTGAAACACGTGTTTATAGTGTTAAAAATTAACATTTGTAAAATTATTTAATATTTCGCTGTGTGCTTGCCGTTTTTATGTAGAAGCTTGTAGTTATTATACAAGTAGAAATAACACTTGCTAAAAGTAATAAATCACCACAATTTACATACTAAATTTCGTAAAAATTAAATTTCCAAATTCTTAATATATGAAAAGTATTTTAAAGTTTCAATCAAATTTAATTTATAATTTATAAGTTTACCCTTTAAATGTATAAACATTTTTTTAAAATTACTTTTCCATTAAAATGAAAAATCTGTAAAACTGGAAATACTCGTAATTTATTTAAAAACAAAAGTGTAAGTGAGTAAATCTCACTTTAAAATAAATCTTATAAAGGCACAAAGAAAATAAAAGAAAACTTATACGCGCTATTGTTTCTAACACGAGTATTTTTTTTTCAACACAACATTAAAAAAGTTAAAATATTGCCATAAATTTCGACCTTATTATTTCATCATAAATTATATTGAAACCCTCTATACTTAAATTTAGGTATTTAAAATAAATTTTCAAAAAAAAGCAAATTCGGGTTTAACTAATTATTTTGCCTATAATTTCTAAATTTTTTAGATAAATGTGTCCGGTTTATGTCAAAAATATTCTCATATTTTTTTTTGAAAAAATTTTCACATCAAAAAACCAGTGCTTTTTCTAAAGTCAGTATGTTGGGTTTAACAATATGTGATTGTCTCAGTAAGGGAATGAATTAATTAAGTTGGGTTCGATAATTCGAGTTTTGACTAACTGCTTTTTTATGCGAGATGTTGAAAAACATGTCAACCGATAAGAAGCCGCCACTAAATCAGGTGGTATACCAACAGGTAAAATAAGTCTTCTGATACAGGTTTTGAGGTATTTGGTATATCAAAAACTAAATACGTTGAACTTAAAAATGGGGACATGTCAAAGTACCTTTAAGTCGGAAATACACTTGATAGAGGGGTTTGCCCAATTTAACTTGAATGGAATTTACTTTTGAAATGGAATAGAATGGAATACTCAGGCAGCCATATGGGCTGTGGCTTCTCATCAGATTTTTTCGACGAAAGAAGACTGGACCTATGGAAATCAGAAGCACTTTGGGCCATTTTCAACCAAAAGCACTTTTGTTCAAGAATCATGTGAGAAATTTTCACATAGTGGACTATAAGGTAGTGGACATTAACCATGTACGCATGCAAGTATGGCAACGGGACATTGCAAAGAAAAAACACTGAATGCTTATAGAAGGAAGATAATATATTGGATCTTTTAGCTTGCGGTTCAGCATCACCCCAATGTTTAATCTACAATCTAATTGTCACTCAATGAACTTCACTCATTGTCACTCACAACTTCACGATTTCTTTATTATATTTCGCTATATTTAATGTTCTGGTAGATATAAATTTTAAAATAAAAAGTGTCAGCAATATAAAAATGGGAAGGGAAAGAAATTTTAAAGAAATTAAAGTAATAAAAAATTATAAAAGTAAAATTCCGCCCTTTACTTCAATTATTATTAAAATATTTATAAATTTTCAATCTAAGAAATTTCCCATTATTTTACGCTTTTTTTTTTCTCAAAATAATTTTTTTCTTCTTATATTTCCTTTTAATATTAATAAGCACCTTTTAAAATCATTTCACAGTCCATTTATATTTGAAAAGTTTGTCAGAATCTTTATATATAAAGACTTTAAGATAACAGTTATTATCATAAGACTAGGGGCAAATTCATTTCATAATGAAAAAATATTTTTTCTATTTTCCCCCGCAAGTGATTGTAATTAATTCTTTGTGTTTTTCTTTGACTAGGAACAAAAAAGCAACAAGAACAAAAATAAAATATTTTCAATTTCATTCCATTCTCATAGTTGATTTCAAGTTTCTGGTGTTTTAAGTGTTCTTCCTCTCCTTATAAGATAAACTTTTTTTCTTAATTAAATTCCACAAGGTAAAGTATGAAATTATTTAACAGTTAATTTATTCAATTTAAAGGTGAACATTTAAAGATGTAGTATAGAGCAAGAAGTGTAAGAGATGATGAGAAGAAAAGTGTTTTTCAGTTATTCCAAAATTATTTGTTAATTTTTAAAGTTGTTTTTTGTATTTTATAATAATGTCGAATTCCCCCTACTCGAACAGTTTGTTTTCCTTGATAAGCTGAAGTAATTTGTCTTGTTAAATTGATATTCTTATATTTTCTATGTTTCCTGTATTCGAAATTATTTTTGACATTTGATTCTGGATAGAAAATTGATCTGTAATATTGTAAGTGATAGTTTAGGGCAGTATAGGTTAATCAAAGAATTCTATGCTAAACTGCACAATTTAATTTGGACCGAGAACAAAATGAACTCAGAGTAAGGGAATGATTAATTAAGAAAGACTATTTAAATATTACTAATTACATGGATACACTATAGTTGATGACTAAACAACCAAAAATTTACATTTGAAATTTTAATTAATAATTGGTTTAAAAGAAAAAAAGAAGGTTTAAATAATTTGCTCAATAATAACTGTGCTAACTGTGAACATTTCAAATTGCTCTGCAATGATAAAGGATAGAAGTCCTAAACTATTATTTTTTGCTAAAGTCAGTTTGCACCATTTGGGAGAAAATTTAAAATTCTGTGAACTGCAAAAATCTTGATATTTAAAGGATCTTAAAACTATTGGACATTTGAAACCTTCAGATATTAAAGAGAAGCAGTTTTTGATTTAAGCTCTTCATTTTTTTTTACAGCTTGTGCGATAAATTTTAACGTCGCATCTAAAAAATTATAAATTTTATAAAAATAGTAATAAGATAATTGCGTTAAGTCTTTTTTTTCCCCAATTTAATTTTCTAAAAAGAACACGAAATACAATTTAAGCTCAAATTCTCACATAAAATTTTAATGGAAATTCCTTCATACAATTACAAAATAGATGGATGAAGTAATCAAAGCAACGAGTTTAGGCAGAAAATACCTCTGTAGCTTAGTTGGTAGAGCGTCCGCCTAGACAACGGCAGGCCAATGGTTTGAGTCTAGTATCATGGAAAAAATTTTTTAATTTTTCTGCCTTGACTAGTTCCTTTGATTTCGTCATCCGTCCGTTTTACAGTTGTATGAAGGAATTTCAATTAATTATTCTTATAAAAAAATTAATAATAAAGATTAACAACTACACGTTACGTATAATCTCGTCCTTGTCATCTAAGTGTTAACAGGAACAGTGGTTAAAAAATTAAATTCAACCTAAAAACGAAACAAAAAGAAATTACAGAATTCAAAATTAAAAACCATAATTTAATTTTTATGGGGAAATTAAATCATTGCTACCGCATATAAAAACTTTTTGGCAACATTTATTATTGGTTTCTATAAATGGAAATTTATAATTTTTATTATTTTATAAATGGCACTTCTTATTGGACCGCAATTTTTATATTTCTCTTATTTCTGACGCATAAATTTTTACAAAAAAAAAAAAAATCACACTTTATGGGACAAATAATTTTCTAGGATTAATTGCATATGGACGTGACTAGTTCTTGTAATTCCTTCTTATGCTTACAATTATAAAAAATGGGTTGGAAAAAAAAACCAAAATAGAAAATAAATCTTATACAATGGAAAGCTACATGGTGAATTTATTTCCCCTTCAACTTCACAACTCAGTTAGTGTAAGATTTTTTTTTTCGAAAGCCTATAACTGGTCTAATGATAAAGTAAAATAGTTTTTTTTACGATTTGAATTCCGCTTGTCGACAATAATACCCGAACGACTTTTTAATTAGCTATGGTGGAATACGTAGTTCACTTTACTTTCAACGGTTTTTAAGAGGATTAGAAAAAATTAAAACTGCCTCAATTGTTTGTTCGGCCACCAGTTTGTTTTTCAATTTCAAAATTTAATGTTGGTTAAAAAGTAGTGCTCAATTTTATTAAAAATTACCATTTCACATTTTTAGTAAGAAATAAATAAATTATCCACAATATGTAAATTGTTCTGCTAACCTGAAAATAAAAGAGAAAATGAAAAAAACTTATTAAAAATTTTCATTCTTTGCTTATATTTTTAAAATTATTTTCAATATGAATGAAACTTCGAAAAGTAAAGAAAACTATAATTTAATTTAAATATAAAAGTTCATAGCACTCAAACCTTATATTAAAGTTATAGCAGTCAGAATTCAGCAACTTGTCAAATTTAACTATATAGCAAAAAGGCCCTTGTGAACAAGCACACTATTAAAATAAATAAGTGAATTTTAGATATTTAAAATGGACAAGCCGATCTATTAAATAAGATTTTAAGTAGAAAAACATTTGGCAGGCAGTTTGTATGAAAAGGTGTCACATTACAGCCTGTTTATGAATTGAAGTAATTTTGGATGCAATTTGTAACGCAAATGGGATTACTAAAAAGTCATATTGCTTAACTTAAAAGTTTCAGTTACAAAATGAATATGCCTGTGATACAACAACAACTTGTAATATTCAGAATAGAATCAGTACTGCCACATTTCAAAATTCTTAACCATGCGTTTATATTTTACATAATAATTCGATTTTAAAATTAATACGCAAGTATCATACTTTAGATGGAGAATGTTAATGCTAAACGAAGAAGTAATAAATTATGACTTGGGAGGATATGGGTGGAATAAAATGTATTTGAAGAAAAAAAAAAGTGAATATAAAATGGGAGAAAAATCGTAGTCGCTTTGTCTGGAATATATGATTTATATCTTCAATTCCTCTTCAATTGTATTTATGTCAATTGTAGTCAAATAAAAAGCCTAAATATGTATGTCGATATAATAGCATTCATAAATCAAAATTTATAGATAATCTATTTTGATAATTTACATTCTCGTCTTTCATACATGTTCCTGTACTTTAACATATCCTGTTAATTGATTCCGTTTTGATTTATTTACATTTATGTACATAATGGAATTTGAGAACCATATTGAGTTGTTGGGAATGCAAACAATATTTGTATACTTTAATTTAAGAAGATTTTTTGTTGGTTTATTAGGAAACTCCAGATTTTTGATTTATGAATTCATCCAATTATGTTGAGTTTCAAATATTTAAACGGTAGTATGAGATTTAAAAATTCGCGATACATAAGAGTGTTTCGAATAAGGTTGAAAATTATTTTAGAAATGGTACTTAATTTGAAGCAAAAATTATATGTGGTGGGGGCGGGACTGGGCAGAAATGGTAATTGAACGCAGAAATATAATATGTATAATTTGTATAAATGAGATTTTTGTTATAACATTTTTGTTATTATGATTTTCATCAACTAAATCTTGCTAAATCTCATATATGAAAATTTTACGCCCTAATTCAGGGGTAGGGTTGTAATTTTTTTCAGTTTTGTAAACAAAATCGAATTAGAAATAAAAATTTTGAGAAATTGAGATATAAAGTTTTATATTTTTTAAAATAGCTGCTTTATAATTGTTTTTTAGAAGAGTACAAACAGAGTAAAAATCTGATACAGGATACACAGGAATTGTATAGTCAATTTTAATTGATTTCAATTAATTTCGTCTTATTAATAATTATATAACCAGCTATATGCCGCAAATTCTTTATGATTTTGAGTATTTCTCTCAGAATACACTCTCCTTGAAATCGATATAATATCCTATCAGACTTAACTTTCTTCCAAGTTAATTAAATAAGGTAATTATTATGTTTTAAATTATTCAATTGAATTAAAAATAGCTTCTCTCTTATTAATGTAAAGGAAATTGAATCGTCAGACAACCAATGAAAAAATACGTACATGTTTGCATGTAACCAAAGCAATATCCAAAATTTATATGCAAAATAATAAACAAAAATGAGAACAAGTGCCAACCAGGTGGTAAAAATCTTAAAATTTTTTATTTTTAAAAATTTTTTTTAATTGTTTTTTTTTTCGCTTTTGTTTTGATGTTTTCGAATTTTTTAATTCATTTATTTTTCCTTTTACTTACAGTTCACTTGCACGTATTCAATTTTCCATATTTTCCAAAAATATTTATTTCTTATGACACACATACACACTAGTGGTTTAATATTGTACAGTGAATAAGCGAATTTCATTTCGAATTAAAATGAAAAACGAATTTTCATTATTTTCACGGTGAACTTTTTTTTTTTCTTTTATTTTTTTATTTTATTATTGTTTTTGATTTTCACGTTTATTTTTACTTTGTGTAACAATTGTTTTAAATTATGAAAACTCAAATTTTTGTTTTCTTTTTGCATATTTACGCGTCTAGAATATTTTGAAGGAAAATTTTATTTTAATCGCACTAAATACAAAAAATTCTGTCAAAACAAACAAAAAATCACCAAATTATTAAAATGTTTTTTTAATGAGTACAATGCCTTTTCACTGTGAATTTCAAATCGAAAATTCAAGGACGGTTTGTATAAGTAACAGCAGCTGACGTTATAGTAAATGGTTTGTTCAATATTTTTGTATAACAAATTAATTTTCTATAATTAAGGCACACAATATAGTTTTAATGTACAATAGGCAATTGATTTTTAATTAAAAATGTTAACATGATGTGGCGTTGTAAGCGAAAATATTTGTACTATGTTAACAGTAACTGCACGAGTATTGTATTAAAATAATTTTGCGGAACAAAATTTTTACGAGATTATATTTAAATTGGCAAATTTTGGCAAATTTTTTTGAGAAATTAAAATTAATTTTAAAATACTAAACGAGTTCATTTGAACTTAGTTTTTTTTTTTGGGTGAACGAATCATTTAAACCATTTGGCAGTGGAAAACTGTAAACTGCGAAGAATTCTAATGTACAACTCCACAGTATTTTAAAGTTTGTATCATCTTTTTAGATAAAATTGTAAGGTGCCCTTTATAAAACTACAATTATTTTAGAAAACAAACAATGCACATTGAATATGCTTTGACTTAATTTAGTTTATCAGAACAAATAGATTGCAATTAAGTTATAATATTCCACGAATTTTGATCAATTGAAAGCAAATTTCATAGCAATGTTTGATGAACAATCATACAATCTAAATTTTGTTTCATATTTACCTATAACTGAGAGTAATTAGCCAAGTTGAATCTCGAAGCACTAGCTAAAATGAATTCAAACTATAAAACTATTAAACAATTCTCTGAATATAATATAGTCATAGACAGCCTTTGTATTTTAAAAATTACTAAAATTTCAAAATTATTTTTTATTATTTTATTTTTTTTTTGAAGAAAATGATTCTAGAACATGAATTTTTAAAAAATTTATTTTAAAATATGAAATATTCAATTTTTAGTATAAAATATTCTGAAGGAAATGAATATTGTTGTGGAAGAGAGTCCTAAAACTGTCAAATATGGGAAGTCATTCAAATAATTTTTGAAAATATTCAAATTTGAAAACTCTAGAAGAATTTTTGCATGAGATCGAAAATTTGGAAAGGAAAATATTATTTGTGTAAATGCACACATTATGCAAGTGAACCGAATATATGAGCGCAAAACCTAAAATGGCTGTAAAAAAATTAAAAATTTTGAAAAAAATAAGGAATTGAAATATTTATTGATTGGAAGAAAAACAAAGGATTGAAGTAGAAAATTAAGAATTTATTTGTTTCACTACGTGAGTACTCACAAGCTTACATAACAAGTAAGCTTTTTTGTTTGAAAACCTCATAAAATTTAATTTACATTTATTTTCTCAAATTTTTTTTGTAATTCAAATTTTGCTTAAAATTTTGGTTTGCAATATCGGTTCAGTTCGGTGCTAAGGAATGGCCAGAGGACAATGTAAAATTTTAAATTTTGTGCAAAATCGAAAGAAAACTTTATTTTTGTTCAAATACTCAAAAAGAAGCCTACTCTTTGAAAAACTGTATGTGGTTATTCTCGAATTTTCAAAAATGAAAACAATAACCTAAATTTTTGTTTTCTTTTCTTTTGTGTCGAGTTCCTCAGAATCAATAAAATGTTTGAATTATTTACCTTATGCCATGTCTTTTCGAATATCCAATGAAAATTAGAATTTTCATTTTGAAATATCTATTTGCGTTGTAAGACCTACTTCAATTAAATTTTTGTTACCTATCTTAGATCGCCTACTTTGTATATGAAAAATATTTTTTCGAGTACTTTTGTAACTTGTTGCATCTTAATTACCGTATAGATTTTAATTGTTTTATTTTATTAAAAAATTTTAACCAAATAATGACTGCGGTAAATTTTTTAAATTAACCCATTTTTAGTGTATACCAAAAGTTTATATTAATTTTTCTGTAGTTTAACTTAAATTATGCGAAATATTCTTAGCATATTGTAAATTTAAAATCCCGATATAGAAGGCTCACACACCTAATACGTTCTTTTTCTCTTTGAATATTGCCTTTGAATAAAAAATTCCGATATAATTTTTATACTGCGAAAACGTCAGGATTTTTAATATATTTTGAACATTGAAATTTTTAACATCTCGAAAGGATAATAAATTCAGAAATGATATATAAAAAATATTGAGTGCCAAAATATTTCCAAAACATAAATTCTTAACGGTTGGTAAATTTTTATGGTCGAATGATAAGCCTTAAGAACGATTGAGTACGAAAGTTACGCACATTTTTACATAAAGATGGAAAAAAATCTATAGAAAGAAATTTTAAGTATGAGGAAGAAACTTTACGTTTCATATTTTTTTTGGTTCTCTTTACAATCCCTAATAATTAGTCTACTTATATAGAGCGATTTATTAAATCTTTAATATTTTCTTACACTGAAGAGTTTTTGTCTTTTCCAATTTATATCTGAGAAGGAGATTACGTATAGAATTTTTATTGTTTAATATTCCTAATCACAGTTTAGTTTATATGGAATAGAAAAGCGTTTAGGATAAAGTCTCTTCAATAGAATTTAAGGTAATAAAAAACAAAGGCAAATTGATTCATAAAAATTTTAATATAAATTTTTAGAAAGTATTTCAGTCGATCTTGAAGGACTAA